GAGCTGGGCATGGCTCGTGTACTATATAATCCCAGTGCTAAAGAGGCAGGAGGATCATCATGGCCAGCTGGGCTCCACAATGAGACTTTGTCTCACAAGTAATAATAGAAACTCAACCAATCAGGCTTTACTTAGATACTAATTCCAAGGAGCAAATTATTAAAATGTTTTAAATTTCCATCTAAGTGCCTTTGGAACTTTGAACGTTAACTGATTTTGGAATTAATACTTCAAGAGTACCGGCATTGTGGTCATGTTGAAGCATCTTCCTAAATAAGAGATGGATTTACAGATGAACTTTGCTGCAGAACTTAGTTCCAAATAATAGGGGAAGGGGGACAGTGAGAGACACAGAATCATCGTGAGTGAATAACTTTGAAGCCCAGTGGTAGACACAAAGAGATTAGTGTGCTGTTCTCCACACTTCCACGTGGGTTTCAGCATTCTATTATAAATTTTGCTGGATTTAATAAAATGAAATTCTATTCAGTGAACGGCACAAAAATTGCAATAGTTCCAACGCACAGCTAAAGAGACGTGAGAAAGGAACAGCTTGAAGGGACGCGTCCAGCAGAAAAGGCAGAAAAATGAAAAGGATCAATAAAGAGAGGACGGCTGACGGAAGCAGCTCGCAAGGCAGACTTGTGACATCACATCACCACCTTGTGGCCCGCCCGGATATTGCCGGTTCGCAAACTAGGACGTTTTTCACACCTGTAGGCATTTTGTTCTATAGCCATGCATTACTGGGCGTAACTGAGTTCAAGGTCAGCCTGAGCTTCCGGCTGCGGGGGATTCTTATTTGAGGCATAAACTTCCTTGACCTTCCTACGAGTTTCAGAATCCATCTCTACTTGCCTCATATTCTCGAAGTTTTTTGGTCCCAATTTCCCTACCTTCTTTTTTCAGGATTTCACCAACAAGCCCTTGCTCACGTTGAAGAAAGCTCAGCGACTCTTTGATTTTTACCACATCATTTTCTCACCTGGAGCCGACTAGCCCTTCATCTTCAACTCCAGTGTCGCCAAGAATTCGAGAACTCTACCGTGAACTGAAGTTCCCAGAGAAAAAAGGCCCATCTGTGTTAAAGGTGCTACAAGATCGATTACAGCGTCCATGACTCTGGACTGCCCGACTGTTGCAGGTCTGAAGCCAAGTTGCCTTGGGCTCTCTTTAGCCCCCTTAAGAGGCATTTTATTAACCACTTCTGTGTTTGACCTAACATCCCTGTGACTACCAGGTGAAATCTTGTTGGGGATGTACTAACAGACCACTAGCTTCCAGCAACCCAAAAGCTGAATGTCACTAGCCAGCACCTAGGCCTAGAGCAGCGAGTTCCCCACTTTGCTCTAGGCCCCCTACGTAGTGGGGTACATTTGACACCCTGTCTCTAAACACCAAGAGCTGGAATGCAGCTCAGTGGTCAAGTGCTTACCTAACATCTGAGAGGCTCTAAATTCATTATCCATTGTGTATGCATGCTCCCACACACACTCCCACACAAGTGGTGGTGAGACCTTTCATGAAGAAAACGATACTATGTGGGACAAACATCTTTAACAACACTCCAGAATTAGCACAAATTGGTACTTAATCTCTAAAAAAGAGAAAAACTGAAACTAGATGTGATAAGGTGATCCTTTAATCCCAGAACTCCAGAGGTGGAGGCAGGAGAAGTAAGTTCAAAGTCACCCTTAGCTATATAGTAAGTCCAAGGGCAGCTTAAACATGAGATCTAAGACCACACCTCCCCCGAATGCAAGTCTTCTGGAAGTACATAAAAATTATGCATATTAGAACCAGAATTCCACTTAGGGAATTGAAACTGTCCGTGTGTAGCTATTTAGATATAAGATGCTTATCACAATAGGATAAATAGGGTTTAGGGGGAAAGACACTAGGATACTAAGACATCCAGAACAGAAGCTTCAAAGCAAACTATGGTACAATCGATAAAGGAATCCTCGGCAATTATTAAACAAGCAAACTCAGGACTAGGAATGTGTGTAGCTCAGTGGAACTTTCCTAGCATGTGCAAGACCCTTGGGTTCAATCACTAGCTGGAGAAAGAAGGGAGGGGAAGGGCGTGGAGGGGAAGGGATGAGGAAGAGGGAGAGGCGGGAAGGAAAGAAAGAAAAAGAAAAGGAAAATGAAAGTTATCCTTTTAAAAAGATACAACTGGGGGCAGGAGAGATGGCTCAGCGGTTAAGAGCACTGGCTGCTCTTGCAAAGGACCTGGGTTTGAGTCCCACCACCCACATGGCAGCTAACAAGTGTCCATAACTCTAGTTCTAGGGGATATGACACCTTCTTCTGTCCTCTGTGGGCTTTGCATGATGGAAGTGCACTTACATACATGCAGGCAATACATGCATACACAAAAACTAAAAATAATAAAAAGAAAAAATGCTGGAGCCTATGTTCATGTCTTCCATGAACTAACCACACACACACACGCACACACACCACACACACACATACATACACCACACACACACACACATATATACAACACACACACACTACACACACACCACACATACACACGCCACACACACCACACACACACCACACACATACACACACCACACACATACCACACACACACCACACACACACACGCCACGCATACATACACACACACCACACACACGCCACACATACACACGCCACACACACCACACACACATACACACACACACACCACACACACACACGCCACGCATACATACACACACACCACACACACGCCACACATACACACGCCACACACACCACACACACACACACACACACCCCACACACATACCACACACACACCACACACACACCACACATACGTACACACACACCACACACACACACCACACACACACACCACACACACATACACACACACACCACACATACACACATACACCACACACACCACACAAACCACACACACATACACACACACACCACACACATACACACACACCACACACACCACACATGCACACATACACACACTACACACACTACACACACCACACATGCACACATACACACACACCACACACACACCACACACACACATACCACACACCACACACACACCACACACACCACACACTGCACACACACATACACACACCCCATACACACACCACACACACCACACACACCACACATACATACACACACACCCCACACACCCCACACACACATACACACACATACCACACACACATACACACACACCACACATGCACACATACACACACACCACACACACACACACACCCCACACACACACAGACACACGCACCCCACACACCACACACACACATACACACACATACCACACACACACACACCACACACACCACACACACACACAACTTGAACTATGAAATAGTGTATCTATATAAGACATATATGTAGGGTTACAATTTAAATTTTGGTTTTGCTACATTTTGTGTCTCCTTTTCTAATAAGGAAAAAAATAGATGTTATTTTTTTAAGAGTAAAAAGTCTTGGTCCCTGAGATCATAAAGAAAGGACAGATGGCTGGAATTTTCAAAGTCCCAGAATCTTAAACAGAGAAAGGCCTACAGAGCTGTACAGAAGGTTAAGCCAATTGGTCAGAAGTGCCCTGGTGTCAAGTATTCAGATCAATATGTACTTGAGGTCAATGTCAGTGAATGGAAATTACTTGGAGAAGAGGGAGGTGGAGGGGAAGGTGTTATGCGTCAATACCATGGGTCAGATCACTCACACAACCCTTCCTCCCTCGGTTGCCCCACCCCCAACCACACCTTAGAGAATTCTAAAGGCCCTAAGAATGGACCTGGGAAAGACGTCTGTGGAAGAAGCACAGGACATATACATACCCATATGTGCTGGCTTGAATGAATGTCCCCATGGGCTCCAAGTATTCAAGCACTTTGTCCCCAGTTCCTGGAACTGTTTGGGGAGGTTTAGGAGGTATGGCCTTGCTACAGGAAGCACAAAACTGGGGATGGGCTTTGAGAGTTCACAGCTTTGTCCCAATTCAAGTTTGTCTCAGATTCCTCCTGCTTGAAGAGATGGCTCTCAACTTTCTGTTCCTGGGCCTCCTGCCATCCCTCCCTCCATGATGGACTCTCACCCCTCCCCTCCATGACAGACTCTCATCCCTCCCTCCATGACGGACTCTCACCCCTCCCCTCCATGACGGATTCTCACCCCTCCCTTCATGATGGACTCTCACCCCTCCCCTCCATGACGGACTCTCATCCCTCCCTCCATGACGAACTCTCACCCTTCCCTCCATGATGGACTCTCACCCTTCCCCTCCATGACGGACTCTCATCCCTCCCTCCATGACGGACTCTCACCCCTCCCTCCATGATGGACTCTCACCCTTCCCCTCCATGACGGACTCTCACCCCTCCCTCCATGATGGACTCTCACCCCTCTGGAACCCTAAGCCAAATAAACTCTTCCTTCTCTCAGTCGCCTTAGTCACAGCAACAGAAAACTACCTGCCATGCCCTGTGCTTCTCCCTCCCAACTGAATATGCATCAAGAGACTAAGCTTCCTGCCCTTAACCAGACTTTTCCAAGCACTTAAAACTTAACCTTATTTCCAAGTGCTTCAAACTTTACCTAAGGTTAGATTTCAGCAAAATTTTTCATTGTTTACATGGAAAATTCATTAAAAATGAATCTCTGGGAGCTGGGGAGATGGCAGTCAGTAAAATGCTTGCTGTGCAAGCGTGAGGCCCTGAGATTGGATCCCCCAGAATCCACATAAGAAGCTGGGTGTGGTGGCACGCTCTTGTAGCCCCAATTCTGAGGAGGTGGAGACAGGAACAGCTTGGGGCTTGCTGCCAGTGAAGGTAGCCAACAGGTGAGCTCCAGGCCAGTGAGACACTACCTCAAAAACTAAGGTGGACAGCAGTCATGATCTCCTTTTAAAGTTACATTGTTTGTGTGTGTGGATGTGTGCACGCGCACATGTGCAGGCATGTAGAGATCTGAGCAGAACAAACCCTGGGCCGGTTGGGGTATCTGGCTGAACCTGTAGTGGTTTGAGTAAGTGTCCCCCATAAGCGCCAAGTGTTTGGACACATCCCTGATTTGTGGCACTATTTGGAGAGGGCCATGGCACCTTTAGATGTGGCCATGCTGGAGGAAGTCACTGGGTCACTGGGGGCGGGCTTTGAGAGTGTATAGCTTGCACACTTCCAGTCTGGCCCTCTGCTTCCTGTGCCTCCTGTCTGCTCTGGCCACCTCTGCTGCCACGCCTCCCCCACCATGATGGACTTTTACCCTCCGAAGCCATAAGCCAAATAAACTCTTCCTTCTCTAAGTTACCTTCGCAGTGGTGTTTTATCACAGCAAGAGAAAAATACAGACGCTTTGGGACACTGAGCTGACAGCACTCCTAAGTCTAGCTGGTCTTGGCACCACAGGAGACTTTTAAATTACTTTAAGATGCTCCAAAGGATGGGATGACGACAGGGGCTCTCTCACATCTAACAGTGCTAGGAATCTGCATGAGATCCACTGCTCAGGCTCCCTAGGCCACTCCGGTCAAGTTTTTGATATTTTGATAACCTCTCTTGAGGGCTGGAGCTCAGTGGCAGAGCACTCCCCCAGCATGCATGAGGTCACAGGCTCAATCCCCAGTAACAGGGGAAGGGGGGAGTTCCTGCAACCATTGAGGGGAGGGTGCATAAACAACCTCAATTCCTAGTTTCTGGCAGTGAGGCATCACATGACTTCCACACTCCAGAACACTATCATCCCCGTGAGTCAATGTGATGGCTGCTCTCACCATCTGGCATGCTTTAGAGGACAACCACCCCCACCCCCAACTTCCTGGTCCGATGGCCTTTTATCAGGTCTTTCTGGATGGGCCTCTCTGTGAGCTCTGATTTTGACCTTTGTGTGATATATTCAACCCTAACATGTCCACTTTCTGGACCATTTTGCTAGTGTCTGCCCAGGCAATTCAGGCATTTTGTCCTCACTCAAGTGGGTCATTTATCAGCTTCTGGGAACCCCAACACAGAGCAACTTCGCATCCTTTTCTGGACCCTTACCAAAATGTTAAATTGCTCATCTCCCTGTGCCCTCAGGTCAATAAACTCAGTTACCTAACTGGCTGTTTCCTTTTCTATTTATTTATTTATTTATTCATTTATTTATGACAGGTATCCGTATCCCAGGCTGGCCTCCAACTCACAATGATCTTGAACGTTTTTATTTATTTAAAAACTTTAAATTACATTGTGTGTGTGTGTGTGTGCGTGTATACACAAGCATGTGCACACACACGCCATGGGCACAGGCCGTGGTGCACATGTGGCAGTCAGAGGACAACTTGTGGAAGCAGCTCTCTCCTTTCACAATAAATTTTAGGATTGAACTGAGGTCATCAAGCTTGGCAGCAAGCACCTTTACCCACTGAGTTATCTTGAAGCCCTACCTTGAACTTTGACGTTCCTGTCTCCACCCACTGGGATTGCAGACATGTGCTGCCATATCTGACTTATCCAGTGCTGGAAATTGAACCCAAGGCTTGGTACCTGATAGGCAAGCACTCAACCAACTGAGCTACGTCTCTAGTCCTATACAAACTAATCTTTAAAGTACCATGCCTAGCCAGATGTGGCTGTGCATGCCTTTAATCCCAGCACTCTGGAGGAAGAAGTAGGAGGATCTCTGACACTGAGGTCAGCCTGGTCTACAAAGCGGTCAGCTGAGGCTATAGGGACACCCTGTCTCAGAAAACAAAACAATAACAAATATGTGTGTGTGAGCGTGTGTGTGTGCGAGCATGTGTGAATAAAATGAATAAAAAGTTATAAAAACCAGGATCCTTGACTGATCAAGGATAAAGTACATACCTGGCATGCGTGAGGTCCTGGGATTAAAAGATAAATGACTACAACATTATGTAACTATGCACATATTGTAAACTACACTAAAGCAAATACTATTTTTTAAAAATATTTTCTTTATTATTTATAGAGTGTATTGCCTGTATGTACGTGAGCACACCCGTGTCGTGCAATGCCTGCGGAGGACAGAAGAGGCTGTCGGATCCCCTGGAACTGGAGTTACAGACAGTTGTTAGCTGCCATGTGGGTGCTGGGATTCGAACCCGGGTCTTCTGGAAGAACAACCAGTGTTCTTAACCGCTGAGCCATCTTCTCCAGCCCTGCAAATACTATTAAATGGTTGCTAATAAGGAATAGAGGAGTGAAAATGGAGGCTAAGGGACTTGGGCTGGGGATACCGCTCAGCAGTACAGCATTTGCTTAGCATGTACATGGCCCTGGATGCGATCCCCAGTGTTAAGAGTCCAGGTCTGCAGACGACCGTCCTCCAAGAACAGCAAAGTCCCCTTGCAAAACAGGAACTGGCCAGGCAGCTGCGTTTAGAGCTGTCTCAGCACAAAGGTGCTTCCCAGACAGTTTCAGAAGACAAACAGGCCCTGCACCCCCAGACCCACTGATGTAAGAGCTGCTTCAGTAAAAGCTGCTTCCCCCTGATAAGTTTCACAATGTGTAACACTCTTTAAGGCCCCCACACCCCAGACCCACTATCATTAGAGCTGCCTCAGCATAAGCTGCTTCCTTTAAGACAGGTTTAGAAGGGAAGCAAACCCCTTACTCTTACAACCTAAGACCCAGTTGATGTAAGGGACTGTCTCAGCAGAGACTGCTTCATCCAGGCAGGATCCAGACCCCTCTACTTGAATAATTTTTCCCACGTTCCGCACCCCCTAGCCCCCCTATAAAAGCCCCCAGCCAACAGCCTGACAGTAAACTGACAGCTCCTCCATCCCGAATTGGGGACCTTCCCGTGCGCTTTCTCTGCTAATAAACTACTTCGCCAGAGTTCTTGTCTTGAGTCCTGGTGCTTTCTCCCGATCCACTCCATTCACCTATCACCCAGCACTCTGTCTAAAGATAAAAACAAAAGGTACCGGATGCAGTAACTAGCAAACTGAAAGTACTTTGCAAGGACCAGCAATAAGAACAGTGTTACTGGGGCTGCAGAGCTGGCTCAGCGGTTAACAGCTGGCTGCTCTTGCAGAGGACACAGGTTCGATTTCCAGCACCCACACGGTGGCTAACAACCATCATGCAACTCCAGTTTCATGGAAATCTGTCGCCCTCTTCTGACCTGAGCAGGCATTGCACTCATAGGTGCACTTACACACATGCATGCAATACACTCATACATATAAGATAAAAATAATAATATAAAATATAGAACAGTGTTACTAACGTTTCACCCCTGAATTCAGTTGCCCTCAAAGGCCAAGGCTACATGAGGGACTTTGGAAGTGTAGGAGCATCAACCAGGCGAACACTAAGGCCTGCTGGCTGGGTGGTGATGGAGAGAAACAGTGGTGGTCAGCCATTGAAAATGCTGGCAGGGGACTGGAGAGGTGGCTCAGTGGTTAAGAGCACTGACTGCTCTTGCTGAGGACTCGGGTTTGATTCCCAGTACCCACATGGTGGCTATGTACCATCCTTAACTCCAGTTCCAGGGGAATCCGAAGCCCTCTTCTGATCTCCACAGCATTGCACGACACAGGTGCCCTCACATACATGCCGGCAATACACTCATACACATAAAAAAATAAAAATAATTTTAAAAAAATTTTAAAGCCTGGCGTGGTGGCACAGACCTTTAATCCCAAAACTCCAGAGGCAGAGGCAGGTGGATCTGTATTTGAATCCAGCCTGGGCTATACAGCAAGTTCCAGGCCTGCCAGGGCTAGATAGTGAGACCCTGTCTCAAAGCAAACAGAAGCAGGCAAGTTTTGCAATGAGGAGGGAAGGCGGTGAGAAGGAATCTGATTGGGGGCTAAGCTGCCCTCCTGACCATAACTGTTTTGCAGTTCTCTGTCCCTGTTTCTTAAGGAACCACCCTCTGCTCTGGAGCTGCTCAGCACTTACTCTTAAAAAAAAAAAAGATGCTGGCAGGAGGGCCCAAGGTGACACGTGGGAGAGTCAGGTGACACAGTGGCAGGCAGAAGAGGGAGACTTGGAAATGAAGAAGTTCCCATCTGACGAGAATCAGTGTGAGGTGGGAGAGAGAAAATGGCAG